TTATTGGAGACTAACAATCTCCTGTGGAGTTCACACCTGCGCTGGTTATTTACTCATCTATTTTTTAAAGATCTACTTGTTACCTTTTCTTTAAAATCTATAAAAAATCCCAAAAAGAAGCCTGAAGAAAACATCCTGATTACGTCGGTCTCACAATTTCTGCCACAACGCCAAAAAACTGTTTGTGATGATCACAAAGTTTGTCGGAATGCCACAAAATCGCAGTGATAAATAAATACGATATGATAAAGGGTGTCATTTAAAGGCGCCCCCTGCTGGCTGAGGGGCAAAAAGCAGACGCTTATTTCGCTTATACGTTTATTTTTGTTTGAGTTTGACATTTTGAGGAAATCCAGAACTGTGCTTTTAAATTGGGAAACACGAGTTCAAGTTCAACCTATATGAGGTATTTCCAAATAACAAGCAGCTGCGGATATTTTAGGGCCAAAATTAACTTAAAAAACAAATATTAATCATTAAATTGGAGCTTTATGGAGCCAAATGAAAATACAGTGTTTGGTCCAGGCAGGTTTTGATAAAGAGTGCGTCACTGAATTGAGCAGATTGTTACACACACACTTCCAAAAAATATCAGAAATTAATAAAAAGGCAACAATTAAATAATGAAATCAATAACCAAAATAACAGAATAACCATCTGCTCGCTATAAGACCAAACACATCAAACTGTTGTTAACTGAGCAGCATTTGTAAAGCGACTGATTATCGGTTCTACTGGCTGATAATCAGATTAAATGTTAAAGCTTGTGTTCGTCGCTGCAGTTTCAGACCGAAGCCTCAACCAGAAAAAAACCACAATGCCAAAATCACTGCTGTGGGAAAAAATCAGTGAAGTCACGAAAAGCTGACGAGCAGATTAAAAACACGAAGTACCTCCTTTTACTCTCATTTATAAATTGTTAGAATTCATTATCTTGTTTGTGGATTATAATGAAGAAATACAGTAATAAATAATACATCCAATTTCATTTAAAGCCAGTGCTGCAATAAAATGCAAATAACTGGTGGATTAAAATATACGAGTGACAGAAATAAAAAATATTCTTCAATAAATCTGTGTGTTTTATTTAAATTAAAACTGTATTTGTGAGACACGGAAACGTTAATTTCAGGAGATAATTCCCACAAGAGGAAGTCTGCAGCCAGAATCTCCATGAGGTCACACCCCAAAAAAAAAAAAGCTCTTAAATCCTATTTTAACCTCTGACCCTGAACACCACACTGCGGTTGAGAAAATTATTTTTAAAAGAAGAAAATTGGGTCAAATTAAAGTTTCTGCTGGAGAAATATGCAGAGTGGTTTTATTGAGGAGGATTTTTAGTGGGAATAAAAGCTGAACGGGCTCCTGCAGGCCAGAATAAACAGGTTCAGGTTGGGGGGGGNNGGGGGGGGGGGGGTCCTGCTGCAGGTCTGCTGTGTCACCTCAGCTCACCTCTCACACGCACATTTTGGGGCTTTTTCTCTGCAGAGACGCAGATTTGTGTCAGGCCTGAGGTTCCTGTGTGAGGCCCGAGCAGCAGCAGCAGGAAGGAAGAGATTAATGATCACATTTTACAGACCAGGATCAGAAAGAAAGCCCCCCCGCGCCCGACACACAAACTCACTATTCCTGCACCAATATGAGCCCAGAGTCCGAGCCAGAGCCCAGAAACAGTAACCCGCCGCACACAGGAACAGGGGAATATTTCTGTCTGTCGGCCACAGTGGGAAAGTTTGGAAAACAGAAATAACCAACAAACTTTACGCGTCCAAAATTATGGCTGTGCCTAACTTTACGCATCCAAATTTTGCGCAAATTACGGAATCCAAAACTTAAGAGGAGCGAGAGACCGACAGCGCCGCAGAGGAGGAACTCTGCGCCGGAGCTGCGGCCAGGCTGGCCGGGCTGCGGGAGCCTGAGCGGGGGGCTCCAGTCAGAGCAGCAGCCGGCACAGAGTGTGCGCACAGCCCGCCGGAGACCCGCACAGCCCGCCGCCCTAACTGCTCGGAAACACGCAGGAAAAGTTGCGCAGAGAGAGAGAACTGTTTTTCTCCTGGAGAATAAAGTGAATAAAGGAAGTTTGGAGCCGCCGTCCGCCATGTGCTGCGGAGAGAGGAAGCTCAAGTGTGAGAGGAGAGGCTGCAGCGGACTATAGGGAGAGTGTATAGAGTCCATACAGTGCACACAGTACACACACACAGTACA